AGAAATGAAAATGGATTTTAATGTAACATATTGAGGGAAAAAAAAATCACTGACTCTATTTTATGAAAGGAACAAGTCGAATTGATCAGAAAAAGATATTAATAGAAAATGGTTTACTTTTCAACATGTTAAGCTGTTTATTGATGAAATAGAAAAATGTTGAGCAATTTATTTAAAGGCGGTGCTAAGAAATTCCTTCATATAAAAAGAACTGTAAGCTATTAGTTTGTTGGATTTAATTAATTGAAATAGTGCCAAGTTGAAATTGTTTGCCTAAAGTTAAAGAAAGAATTAATGCTGCCATCTTTAAAGTAAATGGTGAGAGATTGATTCTAGTTTGATAGATGTGTTTATCACTTACAGTTAAACATACATAGAGATCTGATAACTTTATATAACCTCTGATGACAGCCATAGACCACCTTACCTTTCATTGAAATAGTTGAATATCTTTTAAGCTGGTGAATTCCTGCAATGTTGGCAAATGATTTTAGAGTGATTTAAAGGCTGTTGATGTAAGTCAATCAAGTGTGATTGATATAGAAATTAACGAGTCACTTGACTGAGTCTACATGGGAAGCACTGTACAACAGTAGCAGTCTGAATATCAACGGGATGAATAACTATGTTACTGGAACTATTGAATAGCCACCGCTTCTAAAATCTGTTATCAGTAATTTAGATGGTTTCAGTCATTCCCACAGTTTAACACTATTTCTACCAAGCTTATACATGTACTTAATCAGTCAAATATACAATCAGTTGTAACACTCCTGGCTGATAATCATAATACACATCAAATAACAGACAAGTTTGACTTAAATGAATATGGTTAATTCAGAATTAGAATAACATTTCTATAAAAAGTAATTGGCTAGATACTAGAAGCTGTTCACAACTCGGGGGGAGGGGGGGTGTCACGGTGGCTAAGTGGGTAAGACGCTGGCCCTCTAGCTTGGAGGTCGTGTTTTCGATCCCTGCATTGGCCGAGAAAGTTCACCCAGATTTTCCGGTGCGGTTCCCCCCTTGTCAGATATGCAGGACATGGAGGACCTAACATGGACAGCTGTCTAGTCATTCGGATGATACGAAAAACCTAAAAGATCCCATGACAGTTGGAATTTTATATAGAATCATCCCTTTTAGTGAAAATGTAAGTGATGTTTACAGTTAAAGGTGCTTATTGGCCACTGTATATTGCCTTGATAGAATATAATGAGATAATGTGAAGATAGATAATGCTATATCTTGCTACCATTAAGATTACCAGTAATAAACTAAATTCAAGAAACTAAAATATCCCAGATTCCTGTTTATCGGTATAATTTGTTATGGGGGATATTCTAATAGATAGATACCAGCATATCTATATGTACATGAGAATGGGTTGTGGAAATATATTGCATTCACTAAATACTATTATTAAGATAATGAATTAGACAAAAGGTGTTGAATATTCATTAATCTGTACACAATAGATGGTTTTATATGTAATAAATAAACAGTAGATGGTTGGAATAAATGTAGTGTCTGGTAAGTGGAGACATTGACAGCAACAAGATAGTGATTTTATTCATATTGAAGGTGTTGGTGTCTGAGGGGTTATATGTAGTGCCAGTGATGGAAATACCGTAGGGAAATCAGTGAGTGCTTGATATATTGCTACTACAATGTACTTGCAACATACTTTAATACCTATTTTACTTGATAAGCTTCCATTGCCATCATTCTCTTGACTGACTGGCCGAGTTACTCAGTTATCAAGACACATTCATATGTTGAGTGGCTATAAAGCTGCCCTGATCAATATAAGAGGCTAATTAAAAGCACAAAAAAATTGAAAAGCATCGAAGAGATGCTAATGATAAGAGTAAAAAATACTCAGTGGGAGAGATGAAAATGGTTAAAGAGGGACATTGACCTAAAATAATTAGTTTTAATAAACATAGGTACTCAAGATTGTTATAGTTCAATTGATTTAATTATAAAACCATTATTACAATCAATAAAGATTTATGTAAGTAATTATGCACTATATATAGGTACTTTACTCTCATTTCAATCATTTTTCCATACTTGATGCGTATGCTTATAATGTACCTTTCAGACTCTTTTAAGTTTTAAAAGTCTGGCTATTGTTAAGCAAGCATTACTTTGTTTTCTGAATGCAAGAGGTGGTGGAGGCTGCAAATAATCCAGTTTAAAATACCAGCTCCATATATACCTCTCTTTGAAAAGGCTTTTCTTTCTAATTGGCTTATCTTTGTCCTATGAACAGGGAAACTTTTGTATTAAGAATGGTTTTAAGTGTCTCATATTGATAAAAGTTTAGGAACTTAACCACTGTTATTAATAAAAGTTTTAAGTGTCTCATATTGAGACGTTTTAGGTATTATGAAAGTTATTGGGAAGTTTTGAGCACTGTTATTATAAAAGTTATAAATGTCTCATATTGGGATGTTTTAACCAATCATATAATAAAAGTTATAAGTGTCTCATATCGGGATGTTTTAACCACTCGTATAATAAAAGTTATAAGTGTCTCATATTGGGATGTTTTAACCACTCATATAATAAAAGTTATAAGTGTCTCTATCATATTGGGATGTTTTAACCACTCGTATAATAAAATTTATAAGTGTCTCATATTGGGATGTTTTAACCACTCGTATAATAAAAGTTATAAGTGTCTCATATTGGGATGTTTTAACCACTCGTATAATAAAAGTTATAAGTGTCTCATATTGGGAAGTTTTAACCACTTGTATAATAAAAGTTGTCTCATATTGGGATGTTTTAACCACTCGTATAATTATAGATTTAAGTGTCTCATATTGGAAAGTTTGAAATACTCGCATTATAAAAGTTTTAAGTGTCTAGTGTGGAAATTTCAGTTATGGTATGAACTACATTATTATTGAAGTGTTAAGTCTCTCATCATAAGTTTTAACTCCTATGACAGTTTTCATTGTCTCATAATTAGAAATTTTAACAATCAGAAAAGACTCCTTTGTTTCATATTATGTGTCATATATAGAAAGTTTTAGCCTTAAAATAAATTCACCCCTCTAACATCTTGGATCAACTACGGGTATTGTAATATATGTCTGTTAGTAGACACAAATCATGGCATGTAATTTGTAATCTATAGTATTTAATGACAACTACGAGGAATTATACTTGATTTCCATTAGTTGATTAGCATTGAATGACAGTCATTTACATAGCCATTTTCTTCACGTCTGCTTCTGTACTAAGAGGAAGAATGGTGGCGCTGTAAATCATTCACATCTGCTAATAATGAAATTGAAGAAGACACTTGAAACTTTATTTGGAGAAAAAAAAGGAAATTTCTTTGCAAAGTTCTTTCATGGAGTAAAAATGACAAATATTTGGGTCAGACGGAGCTTAGTTGAGCATGTGAATGTATATCACACATAACAAATCATATGATAGAGTCTATTCAACAGTAGACACTCCCATTGCTTTGTACAGTGTGTCTGTATATACATGACACAAGGGGCAAAGGTAACATCTATTGTCAGTTTTCAAACATTGTTAAATCTTCCCCAGAAATCTGATCGGTTTGAAAAATTATGCGATTTGACCCTTGACTGAATGTAGTCAGTTGCATTATTGGCCTTTCCTCAGATTATACACAATCAGGTATGAATATAAATGATTAATAATGCCGAAGTTATTTCATTCATGCTAATCCTTTTCATAATGGCTTTTCGTAAGATGAAGTAATTAGTGTATACACTAAACCTACAGTTCATTTAATAACAAAAAATTTAAAAGCTGTTTTGTTACCAATAATAGATTCTCCTCTATTTGTTGCAGCTCGGGTAAAAGATCACTACACATTCTCAATCTGTTTTAGTTTTTTTACCCAGTTTTACGACAATAATAGACATGACATGGAAATGTTTCCAGAAAAGAATGAAGCCAGTTTCTTGTTTTCATAATGGCAATTTCACACTTATAATAAATATCTTGTCAAATATTTTGTCTTTGTAACAAAGATTATTGATCAATGTTTAGTTCTGAAACCAGATACTTCAGTGGAAAACCAAATCTTCAGTAGAGAGGTCTGGAAAAGCCACAGTAAAATCTGTTCTTTTTGCCCAGCATTTATATGGTAACATTAATGAATCTGTTAGCTGATGACTGCAGCCATATGAATATAGGATATTAACAATAACAATAGGTATATGTAGCAGGTGTTATTAATGATGTTAAACACTTGTCATATACTCTAATATATCACATAAGGCATGTCAAATATGTCATGACACTGTGACATGTCGGATGATAAGGGGGCAATATTATCAGTCCCTGAGAGCAGAGACATATGTTATGAAAATAAGGCTATAGATAATAACAGTGACATTATAACAGTAAAGATCATTTCTTGCTCTTATGAAGGAATTATCTTTAGTGGTCAAGGTGGACCTTTCCTAAAGGTGGATAATTTAATGTAATACAGATTTAATTAATGTCTTAGATTTATCCCTTTTATTTTTCCTGGTCACTGAAATTCCTATATTTTCAGATAAAAATAAGTGTGAGTTTTTGAAATTGGGGGCCTATTTAACCCCAAGGGAACATTACATTTAAATTTAAAGAGAGTTTTAAAAAAATAATTTCTGAAAATTCTAACTTCAGATCAGTATATCACCCTTATGTATTCTAACATGTAGTCAGTTTGGTGTTGCTGTGTCATAATGTACATTTCATTTCGTATCTAGATTTTAATTTCTGATATTTAATTAATCAATATTATGTAATCATAGGATATCATAACACAGGTGTTGCTCTTTGAATATTTGTACTTATTGAGTCTTCTATTGACTACCATGGCTGTGCTCAATAAATCCATTGTTCTTTTATGAAAGTAAGTCGAACCACATGCATGAACCATTATTCAAGTACTTGTAGCCTTAGTGTTGTTGATATTGTTGCACTTTCATCTAATTATGTTGTCCTTATTTTTTCAGAACGATCACAACTTTTTTTAGATGAGGCACAGAACAGAACTTCCGTTCTTTTAACTCACATGCACAATATTCCATGGACAAAACACCACGATGCAGTGAAAGACTTTTTTCTCGATTTAGAGAAATATATTACAGGACAGAACGACAATCTACATGAGAGTGTGAATACTTTCTTTAGTAAACTCTTTCCTTCAGTATTCTATTACACTTTAAATGATCCATCTTTTATACAAATGGACGACAAATACCACGATTGCCTTTCTATGCATGCTGAACAGATCCGACCCTTTGGTAAAGTGCCTCACGAGTTAAACAAGAAACTACATCATTCCTTAAAACGCTCCAGATCCTTTGTCAGTTTGTTGACCAATATTGTGGAAGCCATGAACACCACTGAAAATATCAACATAGATAAAAATTGTGTGGATGCCGTCACCCGTCTACAGTACTGCTCGCGATGTCACGGACATACAAATGTAAAGCCATGCCACGGTTTCTGTTTAAATGTAATGAGAGGCTGTCTTTCCACTCTATCTGATATCAGTCCGGTTTGGGATACCCTCATTGTTTCCATGGAGAACTTGGTTTCTGATTTAAAAGGAAAAGGTAACCTGAAAAATGCTCTCATGTCTATTGATAAAAGTGTTTTTGATGGAATATTAGAAGCTATGCAAGGTGGTCCTAGAATTCATAGTAAGGTGAGAATTATGCAGTATTTTTCCTCAATCTTCTAATAAGCAAATTTGATCTTTTCAAGTTAGGAAGAGTAATCCATCTTTCGCTACATACAGTATATGATGAATTTTTTGCAAAACCATTATTTTTCCACATTTATGACCGTTTCTATTTTTGAAACATTAACATGTATATCCCATCTTGATAACTTTTTAGTAAAAATATTTTTGTGGAGATATATGTACATAATGTAGCAATGTTTTGTGAAGATTTCTTGCTCAAATGTTAGAATTTAACGGAGACATGATTGATTCTGTAAAATCATTGCAAATCCTCTACAAATTTTGATGAAAAAAAAATATGAATTTGAAGATAAGTCTCCAACATGAAATGACATCAAAGGAGTACTAAGTCTTGCAGCTGGACATAAAATGATAGGCTAGAAGCGATAGTTCAGTTATGATTGATTTATTTTGGAAGTGATCAAGAGACAAGCGGACTGTGCGTATCAGTAATACCAGGTTATGATATTGATAGATATGAGGAATGATATCAACTCGTTTTGTGACTCCAGTAAATATTACAATAATTTGGTGATTATGATAAATGTGATCACAAGTTCATGTCCATAGAATATGCCGATCATATTCCAAGTTGCGGGTATGAAGTTGTCTCTGGGCAGATTGATTTACTAGTTAAATCTGCATGCATGCCATGTACACTGATTTATGTTAGATTATGATTTAATATTTTCTACAATCGATCAGTTCTGTTGATAATGTCAGGAACATTAAACCTCCGAAATGACTCTTCCACAGTGACAATATATTTTGTTTAGCTTACTGCATTAACTGTAGGACCTCTGATCACCCCAATTCCAAATTTTATCAGTGATCTGATATTCATTACATTTTGTCAGTTCATTTGTTGGTCATAATTGTTTGAATTAATATATATATATCTGTAAATTTACTAACAGGTTATGGAACACTGTGCCAAGACAACCAAAGCTAATACCAAACAACAAAATTACGATCAAAAGATTGACACAACATTGATGATGGCACCAACTAGAGACCTTTCACATCTATCTCTTGAAGAGGTTATAGATTCAGTATCTAAGCGACTCAAAGATTCTATGGGCATGTATAACCGCATAGCAGACGGTATTTGTCGCAGTCAGACGGCTTATGAACAGGAAATGACATCATCACAGTGCTGGAATGGAACAGATATTGGACAGTAAGTTTTAGAAATATTTTCCATTCCCAACACAAAAATGATACACAGGCATGCATTTTGATGACTCAATTTTAGAAAAGTACAATCAAAAATGTTTAATCGTTTGAAATGTTTGTATGATCTCTGTAGGAAATCTGTTGGACTGGCAAAAAAATGTTATGTTTCAGAAAATAGATTTTGGGGAACAATTTGGATCTCCAAATTCTGCACAATACTATTAATAGTTAAGCATCATTTCTTTACAAAAATATAATTGACATGCAATAACACACAGATCTGAAAAATACATTTTTTTTCACACCTACAAACAACCACTGCAGATAAAAAAAATATCATTAAATATCATTGAACCAACTGTAACAAAAGAACTTCTACAAACATTAAACTAAAGGCTAAACCATTTTTATCTGGTGTTCTCTGTAACATTGACATTAAACTCCAAAAATTAGGAGCAAAGGTCACCTTAAAAACTTGTCATTTTGATGGTGTTACAGAATGAAATGTTGATAGATATAATGATAATATTCTACAGTTTAAATATAATAAACTTAATCTGACTCAATAACACTGTTTATGGTTTGAAAGGCAATAAGACCACCTGAATAATCTATTAAGATATATCGTACTAAAATTTGAACTCGCTTTCAGCCTTTAAAACAATGTTGTTTTGAATATAAAGATCATTTAAAGACATAAACCACATCCTCCATTTATGTGAATGAACTAAAAACAGTGAAAATATTTTCAAAATCACAAAGGGTGAATAAAGCTTAGAAGCTGTGAACTGCAACACAACACTCTTATACACATCAACAGAGTTGGCTTTTGGCCGTCGGGATGTTTAATTTTCTTAGGCTTGCCGAAGATTATAGATGCAGGCTTATCATTTCAAGAATGCAGCAGAGACTAAATAGCATGTTTGTTAAAATCTGGGTATGAAATTTCATGACCTGTAAATCAAGGGTAGCTTTATATTTTTCTTAAATAACCATCTAAGTTTGATAGTAATGGAGAAGGCTGAGGATGAGCTAACATTTGGTTAGCATGGAAATTCAATCCCAATTTCCTCTCATTGAGCTACGTAATTTGATTAGTTAAATTTTCCCAGCTACATAGAGAATTATGATTTGTTACCGTGCCGAAATTCTTCCCCTCCAGTAATGTGAACTCAAAGAAGAAATTAGATGATTGTTTAGAAAACATGCAAAAGTACTTTGTACTGAGTGATAATTAGCTTATTTTTTATATTTTAAATAGTGGTGGCCATTTGCAATCTGAAACTAGAAAAATTTATAAATCTCTGGTGTATCGGTTACCTAAGCGTTCTTTAATCAAAGGGGCAACATTTGGAAAAGAGATTTATTGCCTTATAGATTTGACTAGTATCATTGCTAATCTAAGAAATTGATTAGACTGGCATCTTACATGGTTTGTAACAGTTATAGATGATGATATTGATAAATCGACAGCCATACTCATATTGACCATCCCAAGCTCAATTCATATCATTCTATAGTTATCAGGATTAGTCTTCATTTGATCATCATTTTCTGCCTGACTGCTTCTACTAAAGATTAAAGGGAATATTTTTATGGTTTTTCCACCGTGACTCATATCCATATAATATCATCTCACTCAATACGCTGTTTTATTACCTAGTGTATTGTATCCCAAGATTAACAGTTTAACTCTTGATGAATATTGACTTTTAAAATCAGTGAGATTTTAAATATTTATATGATATTAAATTTGGAATTTGAGATTTTTCATTTTAATGATTGTTAATTAAGGGAGTGGTGAAATATTGAATATGTTAAAATGTCTAACTCTTAAAGAGGCATTAACACTTTCGGTTTGATTGTATACAAAAATAAATGAAGCAAGTATGAAAAAGTGCCAGAAAACTCAGAACAGTCTACATTCAACATAAGTAATGAAATTACACAATAAGACTATATGAACTGGGAACTGTCCATGATGTCATCCCAGCCATTTTGGAATTGTGACATCATATCAAAAATCAAACTCTGTCAATGATCACAAGCATGCCAAGTTTCATGTTAGTTGTTCTTGAATTAACAGAGTCTTAGGTATTCTTTGAATGGTGTCAACACAAGACAAAGAACAAGAAGATGATTAGGCATTAATTAGGGATCATTATAAAAATCTTTAACACTAGTAGGTCAGTGCTTGGAATTTCAATAACAAGATGAATCTGGTGTTATTTTTGATCAGAAGCTATTAAAAATTTATTTATTTTCTCCATGAGAGTGATAATGGTTCTTTAACATCAGACATTAACTAATTATATTCAAAGAAAAGGAATCAATTTACAATTTGAAGTCAAACAGAAGAGGATACAACAGGATAAGAGATGTTTAGAATGCCAGAATAAATAGTATTTTTATATGGTAGATAATTAGCATTAAGAGTTGTAGTAATTAAAGCACAAGTCTGCTCTTTGTGGTTAACATTGTGAGGTGTTCTTTTGAAGTATTTCTGGGAGCAGACAGAATGAGAGTTTGAAGTTGTAATTGTTGCAATATGGTGATAAAGAACAGATGTATGTGATTATTATGTGTTGAAGTTTGTTTAATATTACCTATTTGTGTTGAAGTCTTAGATTACTCCACAACTTTTAAAACATGAAACCAGTTTTAACACCCGGTATGTACTAGACATAACTGGCATTTTTTTCCTCACAAAACCTAAGACCTGCCCCATTTTTTATGGGAGAAAATGAGTAATATAATAGAGATCAGGTTACTATCGTGGAGTGTGGAGTACCCCACTACTCTATGAATGGTTAGCTGGTGTATAGCGATAATAAATGATAAACACATATGAAAAATGTTCTTTTATTTAAATTTAACAACAGCATGAAATTATATTTTCTGTAGAATTTGTATTTACAGTTTAAAAATCATTCAGAAATATTTGGTTACATGGGGAAAGCCTTCATTAAAAGCGCAAATTTATAAGGATACATAATTGAAACAAAATTGAGGTACTTTTTGATGAATAATCTTATTTTGAATGAACATTGAATTGCAACTAAGTGAAGTTAGCTAAAGAAATGAAACTTGTCAGTTTGCCAAATCTTTTATTCTTTAATGAGAATTTTTCGCATGCTTTCAACTATCCAATTGTTCGGTATACATGTAAATGTATTAAAGTTTAATAAACTAATCTCTATTCTGTATGACCTTGCATCTAACAACATTTGTTATCCTGTAAATCTTTTTGTCAACAGAACTCGATAACCCCCAAATTCTTCCCTCTATTTATCATTTACTTCCTTTCTTTGTTGTTCAAAATTTGATATTATATCAAAAATGTGCAGATCTTGAGGTTGAAAATTGCTGTCTGCATCTATGTGTACATCTGGAAGCTGAAATGAAAGAATATTTTGATCAATCATTACATGTTTTCCCTCCCAGCTGGCTCCATTTTAGAATTGCTATCTGAGAAAATGACGGCCAATTCAGGGTTGTGTTGTAATTTATTTGGTATTAAAGATGTGCACTTCACTATCATCTTTCTACAAACTCGAAATACGCATCACGGTTTACTTGCCAAATTACCTTAACAGAAAATATTACACTTAGTGCATTTCTATTGAATTGTGCAACGTTTGTAGCCTGGGTTTTTCACATGTACTTGGTTACCTTTTAAAACAATTCTAATGCACAGTCGTCTTAATCTTTAATATACAATCTTGACATTTTCGTGGCTGAATGGTATTCAGATTCTGAACATATTTAACAAAGATATTGTGATTGTGGATTTGGGCAAGGCTTTCAACTACATGTGTAGTATGCAGAACAGTTTTTTATTCAAAACCTTTTGACTTGATTCATTTTATCTGAACATTCCTTAACGGGTAAAAATAGATCCACCTACGTATATGTCAAATTAATTTGATTGATGTGAATTCCAATAGGATTTCATTTGCATAAATAGGAATCTTATTCATAATTTTTAATATAGTATTGATGATTAAAATTAAAAATTGATTAAAGATACATTATGGGAGATAAGATAAAGAGATGGCAGTTCTCGCTATAAGTATAATAGTTAAAAACTAGATAGTGTAAAGGTAATTTGCTGAAAATTTCAGTCAAATTGATCCACTATGAGCCGAGAACGAAGCGGGTGAAATTTTCGCATAGTCTCGGTCATCATTACTAAAATCATTAATATAAACAGCATAGTCTCGATTATCCACTGCTTTGATTTAATTATCAGTGGCCGTTAAGTGGCATATAGGAATCTAATCCAGCCAACATCGAAGGCTAGCCTTGACATCAAGAGTTTATTATGGTCTGGATAAGTTAAATAATGTCTAATTGATAATTTAGATAACATTTCAGGCCTAAAGAAAGACTTATAATAAGCAGATTTTGGTCTTGCATAATGCATGTTTAACAAATTGGTATAGTATGTGAATGAGGAGTACATGTAGTCTGATTGATATGCCTCTGCCCTGGTCTGACGTACCCATAAAAAGAAGAAATTGCCATTTGTCAGTCTCAAAATTACGTAAAATGTCAGTGTAATGTTAAACCCCATTATATTTCTATTTACATAAAATTCTTGTTACAACCATATGCTTTTCAAATTGAAATAATTTAAATACAGATATCTTGTTGGCCGTGAAAAGGACAGGCTATTTGATTTCGCCAGTTCTTGATATTGTTTCAATAAATATATTAAAAAAACTATATAAACCAGTGTGATGCCTCTTTCTGATTTAAATAAAATTGTGTTTCTGAAAATTGTGCAGGATTGTGTTTAACCACCAGTAATAAATTGTGATTGAACTGTGATAAGAACAAGTATGGTACACTGTTGAAGATATTGATTATAAATGAAGATCTTAAAATAAAACAAGAACTCATTATTAATTTACAGCTAATTGGTATAGAGTATATATACATACTATCTCAACACTCCTTATACAACTACTCAGCCATACCAATCTATAGTCTACTCCTTATTGTGTTGTAGTAAATATCTTGGAAGCATCCTATGAAAACAACAGAAGCACATCTACATACTCTTATTAAGCTTTTGTTCAATAAACAATTTTCTGGCTTCCTCATCAATTAGACATGAAGTCATTCATCATAAATGACAGAAAAGTTAGGCTTCATGAACATTATAGAGAAGAAGAAGAAGTGTTTATTAAAGTGTTTATTATATTTACATATCATAATTCAGTTAAAAACTTAATTAAAAAGAACACCGCCTGACCATAATGGCCTATGGGACACTGGATATATCTATAATTCTAAAAAACAGATTAATATTAGATGAAATATCATATTATAAAATAGTTTCATATATCTTTTAAAAACCGGGATCTCCTTTGAAACATGTCAAATATAAAATTGTATATATCATACTGGGGTTGTTATCACTAGAAAAAAATACTAATAACTGTCTCTTTTATAGACATTTTATAGAAATTTACGTCTATCTTATGCATTTCTCAAAAAGTCTATAATGAAGGTCGGGTACATTTTGCATTTTATTAAAAAATGGGATTCTGTCTCAATTTCTGAGCAGAAGGGACATAATCAACAAATAGGTGGGGTTGGGGGATGACTGTATCTTAGTTTTTCGATCATTAGATCTGTTGAACTGTTGATTAAGAAATATGGGTTGCCAGGCAACAGTTAAGATCATTCAATAATCACACTTATACATCCTTTGAAGCTATGTGCTTTTGATCTAGATTTTCCACTGAAAACTTGTATCAGCTTGATATATATTTAGATGGTCTTTTTGCGGGGAATGAGTTAATTCCACTGCAAGATCTAAATGGTTGCTTATAAATGAATATAATTTCACAGGCCAGAAGCATCATAATAGGTTGATAATAATTCATTTGTTGCAGATTATCTGGTATGATCTTTATCCCTTTCATCATTATGTTTATTTTTGGAATATTGGGAATAGAAATTCTTTTCAAATGGGAATTAATATACCTTAAATAATAATAATAATAGCAAAATGAAATGTAAAGATGTTTATTCAGGTTTTGTAATGTTTGAAGTTTGACATTAAAAGATACAACAACCCACGTCTTTTACAAATTTTTTATATGAAAATAACAAATTTACAATCTTTGGCGTCAAAAAATTTCAATATTGGATGCTTTTAGTTCATGGAAAGTTCATCGTGACTGAAAATAAAATTGGTATCAATTAAACTAGTTACATAATGATTCTTGAATTACAATAATTTGATCTAATTTAGAAAAGATCAAAGAAGTTGAGTGCATTGTCTGTTTGATATTTGGGACCCGTGTCTGTAATTTATTGTTCAATATTATGATAATTATGAAAGGTGGTTCATATTTAGACTGTTCATATTAATTCATGTGTTTTCTTGTAACAAAAACTTGCTACTTTGATGAATTTTATTTTGACATTCAATTGAATAGAAGTTCAGTAATAATGGACACAGAAAGAGATTTGATTAATAGTTAACGATGGTTTACGTAGAACTTTTTAGATTTGCTTCAAAGAATGTTTTCTCCTCATTTAGATTTTACATTTAAGGGCATTGTTTACACAAATGGAACTTATAAAATACAAGAGAAGATACTTTATTGTAATGAATAACATGAAATTTTATTGGCATATAGTTATCAATAGGTATCACAGAGCATTTTAACATTTAATATATGTCATGTGAAGAAAATGTTTGCTATGAAGGAATAAATGAATCTGATAATGTTGAGTATGATATTAAAAGCCAGCCATTCAAGTCATGTGAATTCAAAAATACAATTTGTCAAATCTTTGATCTTAAGGTCACATGTTGATCTAAAGGTAATGTTCATTATTTATTAGTTACACCACTGCCTACATCTTATCAGTGTATAATTTCTTATTCAAATATTATTTCGCTTATAAAGAATTTTATGTGTTAAGATGAATGTGGGCGTTCAAGGACAGATTTGGAAGCCCCATTGGCTAAGTGAAATTTTCTAGAGTGAAAATAAGCTTTAAATCAATACTTGAAAGTAGATAATGTAAAATATATCTCATAATGTGATCCTGAAGTATTTTATTTTCGAAATAAAAATATGAAGATTAAGTTCTAGGTTGGTGTTTTAATAGGCACTTACCACCAGAAACTAGTAAATAAGGTTTGAATAGACCCAGATAGACGGTAGCAGTTAACAGCCATCAAACTGACCAAGTTTATGTTGATAAATTAGGCTGTGTTATTAAATGTTGCTCGGTGGGTAGTTATTTCAATAAGATCTATGGTATAAATGATATTAAAGTATGTGTTTAAAGATTAGAGCTATAATACCATATCTTGGCTAAAGTGTAAATATAGGTGATAAAAGAACGACACATAAATCCTAGTATGTAGTCAAGTTTACAGCTTTGTCTTACTTTAAAGGGATTTTTTCACCAAAACAATATAAAGGATTAATTTCATGATTTTTTGTATCAATTTTGAAGAACGTTTCATATTCTGAGCGAAATGTAAAAATATAAACAGTTAGTCTATAGTTGGTAGACTTATGAACGTCGTGGTTTATAACAACAGCTGTATTTCAACTCAATCATAGTATTTTTTAACTGTCAAAATAATCTAAAATATTTCATGATCATGTTGAACTGTGAATGATCTCTCTTTAAAATTAAAGTCCTGTACAGTAAACACTTGATATAAATAAAACATTATTTGTAGTTGGTCTATTGACCTGCAGTGAACAGTATTTGGGTGAATCTGTTTCATCAAGTCAAGGTTTATCTATGGTATATGCACCTGAATTGATGACTTTTGGCCAGCAGATAAAGTTGTTATTAAAATATTTGACTATTTTCATCTTATGAATTTGTTCATACAATCCGTCGAATAAAAATAAGTTATGGGTGTCATGTACAAGAAAGAGTGTTACTGTACACACACAATTCTTGAACACCCAGTATCACTCATCATTTATTGCGGAAATTCACTTAGTGATATATTATTGTAAATTTATTTGTATATTTTTTATATTGTGAGCTTTCTTTTGGTAAACCCAAGCATCCAGTTTCTCAAATGAAAGTGGGTGGTAGAAGATTGAAGCTTACTCTGTCTTGTGCAAAATCTGACAAACTTTTAAATTATGTTAAGGAGCTAATAAACTAAGTAAAAACTTTTTATGTTTAAACTAAAAATGAATATTTGACTTATTATTTAATATGAAGTAACTGCTGCCAGTAAAATTTTGTTATTATTAATCATCAAAGGGATAAAAAGTCATGTCTTTGTGTTTATGACCATATAAACTTTCATATCATATGGTCTATTAGGTAAAGAGGTATTTTAACATTGATAAATCGTAACACCTAATTCTTTCCTCAACCCGATAATATTTCTTCACTTCCAGATTTCTATATTTTCACTTACACTAAAATCTTGATGCATTGTAGGATTGAAATCATGACGATGTTCATGAACCATATCACCACCAGTTTGTCTTGTTTATATTGATAAAACTGAGTGAATGAAGCAATACAGACAGGTACCAAAAAAAAGGGGTGAAAAGGGGCGCCTTTTCTCTCTCTTACCTCTCTTTAAATACCATCTAACTCCACAAATGTAGCAATGTGTTAGGTTGAGCCGTCCTTCATTTGTAAATCCTGGGAAAAATGTTACGTATCAGCCAGTGGACAAACAAGAACTGAAAACTTGACGTTTGCTATTGAAATATCTGCAAACAGTCAACTTCTTCATCACTGCATCTTTACATCAGCTCAAACACATGAAATTCAGTGATAAGACCAGATAGGCTGCTTCTCTTTCCATACTGCACATAACTATTAAGGATTATTTTTGGCTGTAGTTTCTCTGTAATTCTTGAAATGACAGTCAATTTTACTTGAATATTATTTATTATTAATGTTTGTTTATAATTTATTTACAAGAACAATCAAAGAAAATGGTCTGTAGATGTTGATATTTGTATATCAGTGTTAAAAAGTTTTTGTCAGTATTTGTGAAGCTGTTGCTGGGAATCCATGGCCTAAGCTTATTCAAAGAATACATTTAAATCATGGTGTTATTGCACCTATCAAAAATTTGGTTAATGGTTAAAATTCTGTTTTACAATTTTGCTCAATGGTCCATAATAAGCACTGGGGCTCAGATAAAAAGAGCAACAAATTTTTTTAAATGAAAAGATGGGTAAGAAAAAATTGCTTTTACTCAGCTTGTAGTGTCTTTTTACAGTATCCTTTTCTAACCTGATTCCACAAAAGCATCCCATGTTGGTGCATTATTGGAAACCTAATTTATTACCGTTATATAAAATTGCTAGCTTTGACTACCATATTGGTGTCTTGTAAGTTGAACATGACATGAAAGCATACCAACCATTCATTGTGATGTTAAAACAATAACACTGTTTGTTTATTTGTGTAGTAGTCCAAAATAAACATAATGCTTTTTCACATACCGCTGTAACGGCATTTTTCCACTGTATACAGAATTACAGATCTATGTGATTGTTAGCTTGCCTGCTTTAAGTCCCCGATTTTCAAGAAGGGTATTCCACGGGACTGTCACTAAGTGCACATTCTGGTTGGCAGCAAATATCTCAATGTGCAATTCACACCCAGCATTCTTTGCAGAGTTTTTTTTTTGTGTTTCAATTCATGAGTGACTCAGCTCATTCATTATGTTGCAGATATTCAAGTCTGTTCATCAATGAACTAGAACTCTTGGTTATTGATATCTAAAGCCATGTTGGAAACCAGGTGAGGTCAACTGGGTCAAATAGCAGAAGTGTGGAAGTAGATCCGAGACTCAATAGTCAGATACATATCTGACATTTTCCAAGTTTAAATTGTTGTTGGATCATTATAAATAGGTTTTATTCTGTTCAAGAAGGAGAGAAGACAAGTATTAAGAAATAATGCCTCGACATTCGATTTCTACAGGGACAAAAACTAGATTTTAATTTGATTTAGAAAAAGAAATAAGAAATTTTATTCAAAAGTAATCAAATTAATTTGAGATTGATAATAAAAAACTGTCTTGAATGTTATGCTATGGGTGATTGACGAGACAGGACAAACATTGGTGACTTATTGATTTGAAGTAGGTTTTTGAGTGGCGATGAAATAGGAAGTGTACTTTGGCAAAGTTATCATTGTAACTGTTTAGAATTGTTGTAATCAAAGTGTTTTCCATGTCTACCCCGCCCACTTTGTACCCCCAAAAATGTTGGGAATGATGAAATAATCAATATTGTTGGAATTCTAGAAATTGCGTGGGACGCATACTGATAAAAAACAAAATTCCACAAAAAGTATTAAAATTGTCTCATTCCATTAATAACTTTAATTCTTCTGAAGACTTATCTGACATTTTAAAAAATGATTTTGACATATAGAACCATAGAAAATCATGCCATGAAGTTGGTGTATTCTGTTCAATGCATAACTCTTGGTCAAATCTATAGTTTCTACAGACAAACACAATAGACGTTTTTGACCAGATAAATTCTCAAATTTAAAAAAAAAAAAATGTCATCATTAGATATGCATGTTTTCCCTAGCAAATATTGGAATGATTTTAAGGACCAAATGATCAAATTATAATTTTCTTTTGTATACATAAAACCGGTAAACTAGGTTTTCATGCTCATAGTTTGGATGATTTTGCAATTTAATGGCTCTCTCGATTGCATTATGTACCAGACACATGCTTTATGCACAGCCGGAGTAAAAAATCAATAGCTAAAGTAGTAATTTTCAATGTTTTAGTTTATGCTTGATTTATCTGTGGAAAAACAGATAAATATTTAACACTGAAAAAAAAAGATATTACTTTGGGTAACATGCCATTTAGAGCGTAATGATGTTTTAACTTATATAAGTGTTATAAAAGTCTGTTATATGCAGTCTGTAGCCTAGTTTTTACTTAAATTGTTTGTAGTTTATCTTTTGTAGAAAATAGGAAATTCAGAGTGCAGGTTGTAATACAGGTTACAAAAATGGACTGGCCTTACAAAAAATGACCCACTCAGAAGTTGATAAAGACAACATTTCACATTTTATAGTCAATTTAAGCCTTTGAAAATAAGCCTTAAATTGTAGTTAATTATTTCCATTTGTTTAATAAGCTATAAATCATGTGATAATTACACATTTCCGCTAGATTTCTCCTATAATATAGTTGATAACATGGGAATTAGATCATTTAATCCTAAACTTGAGCTTTAATTTATGTTTTGAAAGGAACTGATTGGAATTCCGATCATTTATTATGATATAGAGAAAAATGTCAAAGGTCACCAGTTGACAAGACATTGTTAAGAATAGCTATGAGAGAAGGGTAGGAAGTTTGTAGAAATAGGGATTATCCTTGCATAGTCGGATTGCTCGGCCTTCAAGAGCAACCTCTCCAGTCTTTGTCTTTTTGTTTGCTGATTGGTTAGAACAACAGGTTTGGTAAGCACTAAAACCACGTAACCAAACCAAGACCATTTGGACCCAGTTTACGCGAGCATTTTAGCAAGCCTTGTGATTGTTTAGTACAGTGTTAGGCTGCAAGGAAGTTTGATCGAGGATTTGGTGTTCGTTTGACAAACATGTTTTTCCCCTCTCACACCTCGAAAACTAGGGGCTTTAGTTCACGACAATTTAGGATTAGTTGTTTTATTTGAAATAATAAAATGTAAGGGGGGAGTGTGTAGTAAAAGCTAACATGAGTAAATCTTTAAATTGTTCATACCTCAGTTAATCTGTTTTCATAACATTGTTCCACTCCTTTGATAATAAAGAGTTCTCATTCATTTTACTTCTTTGTAACAATGGAAGAGAATTTTGTTCTTAATAATTTTTTGATAATAAAAAAACAACTGGGATTGTTTGCAATACAGAAAACTTTAGTAGCATGTTTGCAGGCATGACAGTTTTGATTTTCACCCACCCAAAATTGAAACAAAATTCTACTTGATAGATATGCCAAATGTGTTAAAATTGCACCCTGCATGTTAGATTATTTATTAATGAATATTGATTACTTTCATTCTCTGCATTTTTGCTTCACCTTTGTGATATTTATTAAGCTATGATTATTATCAGTTTATGGGAATTGCAGGCACTTTTGAAAGTAGAAATATTGTTAAGAAAACAAGGTTGGTATGGCTGGTGATGTAGTGGGATGATTAGACTATAATAAATGATAATTAATATTGACAGTAAGAATCTCTACTTGTAAGATCTAATGAATGAGTAGAGAGAAGGTCAAACTTTGATGAAGAATGATATTAAATTGTTCTATGTAAATTACCAACTAATGGTACAGATGTAGTAGTTGATGTCTGGTGTCCATCTGGTCATGGTCAAGTGAGGTCAAACCATTCTAAATCTGGAAGGTCCATTATATTGTAATTGAAGAATGATAATAGCATAAATTAAATCTGTTATTCAATATACAAGCTTATCTGAAAAGGTCCACAAATAGATATTAAGGAAGAATGATAATTGTATATAAACTTTAGAAAGGGTTATGTCAGTATTGTATAAAATATGAGAATTTTGATAAAAGGGGGTGCTAGAAAATTTGAACAGTACTGGCAAGGAACAGTATCTCATTGTTCAAATGGTACATAAAACCAACTTGACATGCACATTAAAGAAACTTTGACAGTTAGAATTGAATTGCTGTTCAGGCAAAATTCCCCTTATTTCATACTGCATATAGTATATTTCCATTTTAATTATCCTGGTAAGTGCTGAAAAGTAGGACTTTAAAACATTCATTCATTCCTTCTCACAGTTATCAATGTAATTTATACACCTATTTTAAATACAGAGAGTATGCCATATATGGTAATATTCAACATTTCAACATTACCAATCTATTCTTGATGGTAAGGTTAACACTTGATGTAATAAGTTCTGTTATTTATGTTTTAAAGTAGATTTTTATGAAGCAATAAATACACTGTGGTATTTCATACCAGTGTATATCTAATATGTAAATTTATGTAGTGAATGACAGAGTTGACATACTTTCTTTTTAAATGGCTGTCTTAGTCATTCATAGCATTTCAGCTTGCAAATTCTGGTGACCTTGAGGAGTGTGTCACCATATGAATTTTATGAGCTGTTTAAAATTGACAAAAGCAACCAGATATCCTGAATCCAATAGAGACCTCTCTGTCCTGAGTTTCCTGAGTACAGTCATGCTAGTCATGAATAATTATTGAGGTAGTTACCTTATTGTAATAAACCCATCCAATGTGAACCCTACTCATCATATCATAACATAGCTTTTAATAATAAAAGACCCCCACTCCCTCTGCTAATTCCCACCATTAAACATTTGGAATAATGAGACCATAATGCACAAGATTAAAGTCCATCCTAATTTGTCCAGTTTGATATAAACAGTTTTAGATTAGATTGCCTTAAAGTTTTATTCATGGCAATTCCTTAATACACAATTTGTGTATAAGAGCTGTGTAAACATGTCATATGTTTTACTATCTTGACCTACTGAGATTGGGTACCATTATTGATAACGGTAAATTAATATAAAGTAATTAGAACAATAGAATAGTTTATGATATATGCCATGACAGCTGTTATAACACACAAACCTTATACTTCACTTACACAAAATCTATTAAATATTCTTTTTACTTGACAGCTGCTTCATTTCAATGTCTTTAAACAACCTCTATATTATCAAAAATCACTTAGAATTGACAGGTTTGTGACTGTCGAATTCATTACTAGTTATCATTATTAAAAGTAGTT